TGAGTTATAGAGGTAAACATACCAGGAAACCTGGGTGGAGGTGTGACAGAAGGTGATTGGCATTGAAAGTAAGAGGATCAGGAAACCAGCTGAATTAGGGAGGTGGACATACCAGGAAACCTGGGTGGAGGTGTGACAGGAAGTGGGTACCATAGAAGGTAGGAGGATCAGGAAACCAGCCGAGTTTGAGAGGTGGACATACCAGGAAACCTGGCTGGAGGTGTGACAGAAGATGGTTGGCATAGAAGGTAGGAGGATCAGGAAAACAGCCGAGTTGCAGAGGTGGGCATACCAGGAAACCTGGGAGGAGGTGTGACAGGAAGTGGGTACCATAGAAAGTAGGAGGATCAGAAAACCAGCCGAGTTTGGGAGGTGGACATACCAGGAAACCTGGCTGGAGGTGTGACAGGAAGTGGGTACCATAGAAAGTAGGAGGATCAGAAAACCAGCCATGTTTGGGAGGTGGACATACCAGGAAACGTGGCTGGAGGTGTGACAGATGGTGGATACCATAGAATGTAGGAGGATCAGGAAACCAGCCGAGTTTGGGGGGTGGACATACCAGGAAACCTGGCTGGAGGTGTGACAGATGGAGGATACCATAGAAAGTAGGAGGATCAGAAAAACAGCTGAATTGGGGAGGTAGACATACCAGGAAACTTGGGTGGAGGTGTGACAGATGGTGGGTACCATAGAATGTAGGAGGATCAGGAAACCCACTGAGTTGGGAAGACAGGAAGACCAGAAGATTTGGAGTTAGGATGCTGTGGAATGGTCTGGAAACCTACATTCTGTTGGGCTTTGATGGATGGTGAAAGGATCAGAAAACCTGGGTTGGAATAGGATCATGAAAGGTAAAAGTAGTTGGAAACCAGCCGAGTATTGGGATGAGATAGGCGGTGGAAAGGAAAGAAGAATAAAAAGGATGAAAGGATCAGAAAACCTGGGTTGCACTGGGATGGGATACGAGAATGCTGGAAGGTAGAAAGATTAGGAAACTTGGGATGTGGTGAGTTGGGAGGTGGAAGGATCTAAAAACATGGGTTGGAATAGAATGATGTTCTAGTAGATAGATCAAGAAACACCAGGGTGTGTGTGCAAGACTTCTATCAGAGACTTTATAATTAGGTAATCAGTTCCATGCAAATTGAAGTACACTGTAGCTGTATATACCAAGACAGGCTAACTGTTTGTCTACACATACGTGTGATGTAGCTGTATACAACATAGATGAGATGCCTGTCTGTTCACATGTACCTGTAGCTCTATACCAATACAGATGAGATGCCTGTCTGTCCACATGTACCTGTAGCTCTATACCAATACAGATGAGATGCCTGTCTATCTACAAGTACCTGTAGCTCTATACCAACACAGATGAGATGCCTGTCTTTGTACAAGTACCTGTAGCTCTATACCAATACAGATAAACTGCCTGTTCACATGTACATGTAGCTGAACACAGAGACAGATGAGATGCCTGTCTGTCTACATGTACCTGTAGCTCTATACCAACACAGATGAGATGCCTGTCTTTGTACAAGTACCTGTAGCTCTATACCAATACAGATGAGATGCCTGTCTTTGTACCAGTACCTGTAGCTCTATACCAATACAGATAAACTGCCTGTTCACATGTACATGTAGCTGAACACCGAGACAGATGAGCTATGTCTAAATGTACACGGGAAGCTTTTCCAATTATGCATGTCAAGTTTGTCTATACATGCTCTACATGGCACTACTAGTACTACAGATGAAATGTCATTGCAATTTCGCATCACTTGGCAGTGCAAATTAATCTGTCTTTGTGGGAGTGTAACACAGAGGAAATTGCACTGCCCTTCTTCAACTCTACCATACATATCAATATTGTTAATGGATTTTGTCATAAATTATCGCCCACAGACATTGATAATTTAAATGCATTTGCACAGACTACATTTCATTAAAGCTGCAGAACCTAAATCCCCATCTAATGAATCCCTGTCCAGTGAAATCTGCACTGCTACAAAATTTAATAATTTTCCACACTTTCAAAAATTAGGTTCTGATGAAACGTTAAGGTACTGTAGAATTCTTTATTTTCGACATTTTCACTGAAGGGATGATTCTGTGAAAATAAAATCCAATACACTTTTTTTCCTATATTTCACATTAAACTCATCAAAAATCAGTGAAAATAAATTCCACACAAAACGCCCAAAAAGCCTTTTCAGCGAAAATTAATTCCAGCGAAAATAAAGTATTCCACAGTAATTCAATAAAAGTTTTTACTTTTGCTCATTTACATGTTTTTTACTCTTAAAATTACACATAGATGTTACATAGGTTTATCATTGATCATATGTGGTGTTGTATTCTTCCACTTACAGGAGGTTGTCATTGCTGGCTATGCTTTTTTGTAGTTCGATATCAATTTTAATGCAGCCACGTTTTTTGATGGCAAACTCACCTCAAGTCATTTCAATCTATTTTCAGATACATTTATTTATTGTAGTGGTTAGAAAATGTGTTTCTAGTAGATCAATTGAGGTTTTCAGTTCCTACATATACATGTACTCAACGCATGACTTTAATAATAGTTTGATAATATGGTAAATTTATGGTTATACATTGTATATTAATTACCTTTGCTTGAATGTACCACACGGTAGGGTGAATATCCCTACACTGTAATATAAATATTATTTTGCAATCTGATAAAATATAAAATGCCTCCCCCCCCCCCTCCGTCCCAATGGAATTTTCAATAACAAATATAGTAAACCAGCTGTGCTCAAAGATGCCTGGGGATGACAATGGCTGACTTGTAGCCATTTAATCATAATTCTTTTGATGCATTGCATTTTTTCTGCCAATATTTTGGTGCAAAGTTGCATATATGTTTCTAAAATTTTAAATAATTTTGGATATAATGGACTTAATTTTTCATTGCCTACAGCTCTTGAACAAAATTTATAGATTTATTATTTTCTAAATGTTGACTTTGTTGTTCGAAGAGTTAAGATGTTCAGCTGTATAAATTCACAACAAACTTTTAAAGATTAAGAATTTACATAAAATCTGCACGTGTGAACTGTGACCGCTACCATCTGCCTTTTATATCAGTATAAGTACTCCATTTGGTTCATTAATTTTTTTCACAAACATACTTAAAAATAATTCTGAATAATAATTTAATATTGCAATTTTAATACAATACCCAGTATACTCTCAAGTTATTTAGTATTCACAGCATGAATATTATTATTCAGTTATTTAGTATAACTCGTCATAGTCAAATAAATTGAAAGAGAGCTCATTATATTACCATTATCATGAGTTACCACATGTATGAGGCCACCAAACTTTTGAACAAATTTTATACCTAATTTTTTGCTACACAAAAATACTGAAAAAATATTTTTATCTTTTTTTTTAACATATTTGATATATCATGTTAAAGGATGAAGAACATGAAATAAAAATTTGGGGCCACCATATTTTAGAAAAAATTGGTCAATAAAATACAGTGAAAATAGCATGTTTTGTCTGTTTTGGGGAATTTTACCATTGTTTTCTATGGTAAAAATATATCTAAAAATTTTGCTCAGTGACGTATGGTAAATTAAAGACACTCAGTGTCTTGCAAGCTATTTTTAATGTCAAGAAGTATTAAAATATTAACAATATTTTTAGTTGGTTTTTAACGAGGAAATATGTTTTTATTGTGGTCGATGAAAATCACTGCAAAAATGGCATTTTATGCATACTATTTTACCATTTTTCTCAACAACCAGATTTTTACACTAAATATTGTCATTGCTATATGCGCTAAAATATACACACATAATTATTATGAAAAATCTCAGTCTGTTAATGTAGCACAAATACACTAGGAAAATAATGGTGTTGATGTGAATGTTTGCTTTGACTCGAATGTTGACAAAAAACTATTCTTAAAAGCTGACATTTTCTTTTAGAGGAACTAAAAAACGTTTTTCTTATTGTTCATTTGAAACATGATAGATATCATAAAAATAAAATAGCGAATACTAAAACCTGACTCGTGTATTTGTGTTCAAACTATGCCTCTTGTAGTACTCATTATTTCATTTCCTTCCAGAAGGAAATATATTCATTAAAATAAGGGTATTCTGTGATTAGCACTTGGCCTATAATGACCTATCTGGTAATTACTTTCCTGACACATTTTCGTGTTGTACTACTTTTAAGTATCTGTATGTATACATTGATGCCAGAAACTGTCCAGCAAACGAAAAATTTACCCTCGAAATGAGCTACTGGGGGGTAAACAAATAAATAATATGAAATTTTGATGAAATAAAAATCTTTTGAATGCATATATTTTCTTTGTAACTACTACAGTACATGTACAAAAAACACGATGTGGTGACCGGGATTCATGTACGACCAACGCCAACTAGCGAACATCGTCGACGAGACAGTTGGTCTCAGAATCGGAGAACGACAAAGTTTACTTGGTCCGAGAATAAATAATAAAATATTACGATAAAATAAATTTAAACTTGTATCTACTTGCAATACAGACAAATCGCACAGACTATGACGCATAACCAGGATTGGGTATACTAGAAATGCGCAAAAAATGACTTTCCACAGCGTCGAATGATAACTATATAGATACACTACAGACACGAAATACTGTCAATGAATATTATATGACAAGTAATCTTTTTTTTAATCCCTACACAGTAACACTGTCGAACAAGAGAAGTAACATCGAGAGATACTTCCATTAAGTACATGTATGTGGGAGCCAATATAAACGAACAGTAACAGTGAATAACAGAACTCAGTACTAAAGACGACAACATAAGAGACAACTACTTACGGAACTCTGGGTGTCAAGCACTGAACACATTCGACTGCTCCGCCATTTTGACGTGTTGTGTTGTTATGAGCCTCGCTTTCAGCTCAGTTACTTCGTATCCCAGTTCGTGTCCATGCGTCTATTGTTATGGTAATGTGGCATTGTTATGTGCGCTACCCCTGAAAACAATGTATGATACTATACTCATTACGGCAAACAACCTTTTGTATGCGGTGCCGGGATTGTCAAGTTAGTCAACGCACAGTCCCCCAAGTCGAGGGACTGTGATCAATGGTAATTTTCTTTCGCTGATGTTTGGAAAAATACGAAGTATATATTTTGTTTCACGCACAGATAAATTGGAAAATATGTTATTACTCAAATAGACTGGCTTTATATTGAGCTAGGACTCCTTATTTCGGTAATCGCTCAGTTTTGCAAATTCATGAGTTAAAGTGTTGAATTACATAATTTTCCCGCCAAAATATTTGTGTTGTTTATTATTAAAATATTGCGTGTATCAAAATAAATCATGTAATACATCTCATGAAACTGTTCAATTTTAAATCTGTTTTCAGAATTAAAATAAAAGCAGCTTTATTGTGGTATACATGTATAACACTATGGGTTCGGGAACAGTGTAAATAAGTCACAGAATTTTAATTGATTTATATAAAAATCGCAAAAAAAAATTAACTAAAATAATGATATTTCAAAGAGTCCGATTAGTAATTTGGATTATACATGAAAACACCTTTCATACTATGGTGTAATGCATGATAATTCTTTATACAATTCATATTTTTAAAAAATAACATTAATTTGGTGGTGGAAATGGCGTAATTTGCTCTTCAATCCATTATTTTCCAAACCCACTCAAAACTAGACGATTACCCAAATTTTGCCTTTTTCACGCATTGAATAAAGAGTCATCATACAAACGATGTCTCAATAATATCCTTTCTGGGTGGCATTAGCTCAATATGAAGCCGGTATAAAGAAAAAAAACACATTTACAATTGTTTCTACATTATCGTAGTATGTAATTCTATTCAAATTCCTGTATATTCGCTTGGTAATGTTTTTGTTTTGTTTTTTTATTATTATTATTCAAGTTGTGTGGGGGGGGGGGCTATCCAGAAGA